ACCCTGATCTGGGACACCCTTCAGGGCAAACCAGCCAGCCCCCACCCATGCACCAGGCCTCTATCCTATATAGTAAAAGGGTAATATGCAAACTGACCCTAACAGCAGACGGACGGGAATGACTGGTCACTATGACACACTGACCACCAGGGGGCAGACGCTCAATGCAGGAGCTGCCCTCTGGTGGTCAGGGCGCTCTCACATGGGAGGAGCTCTGCTCAGCCACAAGCCAGGCTGATGGCTTCCAGTACAGTGGTGATGGTGGGAGCCTCTCCCACCTCCTCAGCAGCGCTAAGGATGTCCGACTGCAGTTTATGCCTGCTCCCCGCTGGCAAGTGGACATCCCCTGAGGGCTGCTGGGCTGCCAGAGGGATGTCTGATTGCCAGCTTAGGCCCAATCCCCCGGGGAGCAGGCCTAAGCCAGCAGGTGGTCATCCCCTGAGGGGTCCCAGACTGCGAGAGGGCACAGGCCGGGCTGAGGGACCCCCCCCCCCCAAGTGCACAAATTTTTGTGTACCGGGCCTCTAGTTATGTATAAAAGAAAATACATTTTAACCACCAAATATAAGTTGATTACCTTGAAAACTTTTAAATGCTCAAGCTAGCATTTAGAAATCTTTGAAAATAAATATGAACTTCAATTCAATATCTTGGGTAGTTTAAAGGTCTGCTAGCTTGTAAAAGTGAGAATTTAATTAAAGTAAAATTTTAAATGTCAAAAAGATTATAGATGTGCACATATTTATAATCCAATGCTTATATCAGTAGTTCATTTTAATGTCTGTAATATGCATGAATGTCTATTATAAATATGCATACTAATTGCAAATAATGGCTCCATAAATAGTTTGAAACATTGTGCCTTACTATACTTAAACTACAGATTAAAATACAAGTAATAACCCCCAAACTAAGACCCTTTATTTAACAATTGAAAAGAATCACATAATTGTGAAAAACAGTATTGGAACATTTTTCATTTTGGAAACATAACTCCTTCACTAGGAATGGGCATCAGAAATATTTATTTCTCTATGCCCATGTTAGCTTATATTATTTTTATTTCTTATTTGAATGCTTAATTGTAACCAGAATATGTGTTTAAGAAAAGAAACACGATTCATTTTTATAACTTTGAATGCCCATGGACCATGTGGTTTCCAGAGTGTTTGCTTAATCACAGCTGTGATAACCTTTGTCTTACCTTTTGCTTCAAATACTTAATAGAGAGCAAAATAAATCTTAAGAGCTCATAATTTAAGCAACTCAAAGCAATTTCACAATAAAATGAAATTTCAGAGATGATTCACGAACATATCCTGAAATCCATAGGAAATGCTTTCCATGGGTTATTTGGATATTACCTATTTCACTAATTATACCACAATAGTTCATTGTGATCTATTTTTCTCTAATCCTCAACTCAATCATCTGGTATAGAGAGGGAAGTGAGTTAGTTTATCATGTCAGGTGAACCCTACTGTTGTAAGAAAACAAAAGGGAAAAATAATATTAGTAGAATACCTTCATAAAATAAATAAATAAACCTTAGCAACTCCTTCAAAACAAATCAAAGGTCTGAATGACAGTCATCACCTTCATTCTAATGGAATCCAGCAACAGCACAATCATATTTAGAAAACTACTATTTAGAAAAAATGTAAATAATTTTGTCTTTCCTTTCTCAGCATCTTCATTACATTTTATGGTGAGCATTTATTTATGTCCATTGCTGGTGGTCTCCTGCTGGACTCTGAAATTCTAGACTCTGACTCCAGATTGCCTGGTTTAAACTCTCAGTTCCACCACGCTGGTTCTATGAACCAGCAAGTTAAAACTTCTTTTGACTTTTTCAACTTGAGCAAGTTAAAAACTTCTTTGGCCTTAGTTTCTCATTGTGATTTGGCATGATGAGATAAGTTCATGTAGAGAACATTCTTAGAAAAATGACAAACTGAAAAATGTTAGCTATAATGTCTGGCCAGTGTGGCTCAGCATCTATCTCTGAACAAGGAGGTCATGGTTTGATTACAGGTTAGGGCACATGCCCGGGTTGTGAGCTCAATGCCAAATAGGGGGAGAGCAGGAGGCAGTAGAACAATGATTCTCTCTTATCACTGATGCTTCTCTCTCTCCCTCTCCCTTTCACTCTGAAATCAATAAAAATATATTTTAAAATATTAACTATTATTGTTACATATAGAATGTGAACAACCTATTAGAAGGAACACAATAATACTTCTTACAAAGATAAGAAATAGATTGAAGATGGGCTAAGAGGATTCTACAAACGAGAAGCCCATTGTAGATGCTGAACCCAATGTTCTGCTTACCTGTGCTCCGACAGGAAAACTTGGTTTTGTGATCACACAATCGTAAGGTGCCATTACAGCCTTTTTCATCACTACCATCTTCACAGTCTTTTTCCCCATCACAACGCCACAGGTCGGGGATACAATTTCCATCAGGATGGCATTGAAATTCATTCCCATTACAACCAGCAGGAGAACGAATCTCTTAAATAGAAATGAGAGAGGAATAGAGGGGAGAAGCCAGGAGAGAAATTATTTTACTTGATAATATTTTTCTTTCTTTACACATTTTTATGATGATAGAGAGAATATATATTGACTTTTTATATTTTACATTTTTTGAATAGTGTTGTTTAATAGCTATAATACTTTCTAGTATTTTCAAATTCATTTCGGAAACAATAATAAGAGAAAATTATGTTTATCTCCAAAAGAATTCCTGAAAATGTCACTTACATTAAAAAAAAGTTTCGAACAAGATATTGTATGACAATTCTATTGTAATTTTAACTAGTGTCTTAATGATTAGATCTTTGAAAGCCTATTCTCTTTGACACATAAAAGAGGTTTCACATTCTACTCTAAATGTTGACTTTGGTTGATCTTTTGACACTTCTCTAGTTAATTTATTTTGAACTTTTACGAGATAACTAAATAAATAATACGTACTTTCTGGCTAATAAAATCTTTATAGAATAACATTCAAAAGTTTGAAAATAAAAAGACCCCATAATAAACACAAACTCTTTAGGATGTAAGATTATAAATCTAGAATCACAGCAGACACATAAGAATTTAATGAGGCACTATATATTCAAAGTCAATTTATCAATTAATAATTTATACAGTACTCAGATAACTATATTCCTCAAAACCTGATAACTAAAAATATAGGTTAAAATATTCTGGTAAGCATAAGCAAGAATAAGGAAATAAAAAATGTTGGTGATATAGATGATTCATAGTACAACTGAATAATTTGACTGTAATCAGTAGCATATTAAATTTTTATTAATATTTAATATTGTAAGATAAAGTAGCCAGCATCTCTGAATTGTTGTAAAATATTTTAGAATATATGTTTATATACATGAGTTTTAATGTAATAAATTTATTGTCTTATAGAACTAATCCAGCAATTAATCTACATATCTATAACAGCAATTATTCTGTAACACTATAATGAATTTGAAACAGGTTCATGTGAGTTACCTATTATTTAATGTGCTGGTTTGATAGGGATCATGTCACTATGAATTAAGATTAGAATCATTTAGGTCAAAGCTAAAAATAACAATTATATCACCAAGGCAGCTACTTAAACTCTTCAGACCTTTATTTGTTCACCTGGAAAGTTGAGAGTCTGCAGAGTTGTAAGAAATAAACTGGATATCTGTAAATTATTATTATAACTATACAATTTTGTAATGCTGTTAACGCTTATGATATAAATAGTTTGGTTTCTAATATTTTCCTAATTTAAAGATGCTCAACAACTATAATGTCAGGTGGTACAATATTATAAAGGTTCTCAAAATTGCCTTGACTCTTCACTCTACTTCCCAAGTATTCATTCCTAGAATAGTAATGAAATAACAACCAAAAATAAAAATATCCTCGCTGAAGCCAAAACACACAAGTAAATCTGTTGGTAAAAAATAGGAGTTCAAATTTAAAGAAAACATATTAAACTAATTTCCAAAAGTAACCTCTGTTAAGAACACTTATAATGCCTGGCCAGCATTGCTCAGTGGTTAAGTATCGACCTGTGAACCAGGAGGTCACGGTTCAATTCTCCATCCGGGCACATGCATGGGTGTGGGCTCAATCCCCAATGTGGGGAGTACAGGAGGCAGGTGATCAATGATTCTCTCTCATCATTGATGTTTCTCTCTCTCTCTCCCTCTCCTTTCCTCTCTGAAATAAATGCAGATATGTGTGTGTGTGTGTGTGTGTGTGTGTGATGTTTTTTTTAGAAAAGAACACAATAATTACACCCAGTTTACAGAGAAGGCCCTGACTTTAGGCTGGCTATGAAATGCCTTGCAAAACCAGCCAACTCTTTTTCCTACTTTCCTAGTTATCCAAATCCTTCTGACTTCAGATATACAGACTTCTTGATTGAACAAAATGAGTGAGTACACACAATCAATAAAGATGGTAGAGTCTCTGCACATTTGGAAGATATATATGAAATGTGACATAGCAACTTCCCACTATATTTAATTTAGTATCTGCAGAGTATCCTATTTAACACTATGGCCTAACCACTACAGTGGTAAAGGATGCTGAGGTTGGTTTAATGTTACAAAATAGTCACAGGGATGTAAAGTACAGCACAGGGAAAATAGTCAATAATATTGCAATCACTATGTCTGGTGCAGGTAGGTGCTGAAAATATTGGGGGGGTGGGCACTTTGTAAACTATACGACTGTCTAACTTCTATGGTACACACCTGAAACTAATAGAAACTATTATTGAATGTAAACTGTAATTGAAAAAAATAATAATTAAAAAAAGAATTGTGACATCTTCAAGCCTAGTATTCTTCTAAAGATAACTTGAAAATCATGTGATTTCAGTGTTCAGGGAAAAGAAAGGAGAATAATCAAATGGAGTTCCAAGATCCACTGAGCTAAGCAATTCTAAGAAGCCACCTTCCATGCAGCACCGAATGGTCTTCGGTTCTTTCTCCTACTACTTAACCTTCCTCCAAAACAACACAAAACAAAACAAAGCTCAGATCTGCTGAACTTTATAACCTGCAGTGAGAGCTCACCAATAAATTATAAACATTGTATTTCAGGTAATTGTCACTCAGTGATTTAAAATAATAAATAATGGGAAGTATAGCCTATCAATTTTTCTACTTTGTCTAAAATAAGAGTGAAGAGTGGCAACTTATATATTGAATCTGCTGCTCAGTATATAAAATTTGGCAAATACACTATTGACCTTTTAAAAATCTGAAAATTTTCTTTAAAAAATCTAGATTTTTTTTTTTTTTTTTTGCCCTGGACAGTTTTTCTCAGTGGTTAGAGCGTCAGCCCTCAGGCCGCCGCCAAAGTCTCAGGTCTGGTTCCCTTTTACAGGTACCTGTACTGCAGGCTGGATGCCGGTCCAGGTCCCAGGGAGGAGACAGACGGAAGCTAGGTAGCCGGGGCGCCACCCGAGCTAATGCGAGGCTATTAGTCCATGTGTGGAGGTGCACACGGCCGTAAGCCAGGTGGGAACAGGGGTGTGCTCCCCCGCAACGGGATCATCCGGTCTCCATTGCTGGCTGTGCCAGGAGAGAGGAGGAAGGTCGCCAGCCTTTTTGGACATATGCTTGTTAGTTCCGGATTGGTCCTTTCAAAGAATTTTGCCTTAGCAACATCCTTGGGATTGGTTATCTGCAAGCTGCCTGTCTTAGCAATAGCCACACATTTTAAAGTTCATGCCTTTGGCGCACACCCTTCCGTCCCCGCCCAGCTGGGGTGTCTTAGTGACTCCGACTAGTGGGGATCTTGGGTTGTACTTTCCCTTCCTGTGGCCGGATGCCAAAAGACTCCTGACTGTAGCATGGAAGGGAAGCTCTGCGCGCTGGGCGGCTCCTGGAACCCCAGCCACACCTTTTCCAGGACTGGCTTCTCCCACTGTATTTGTTACTTCATTCTTCGTTTTTTCCAGACAATGAACTCGGACTCAACATCCCACATTTTGGTTTCACTGGTAGGGGCTTGTGCAGGAGGAGACCAATTGATGTTTCTCTGTCACATGTCTCTCTCTCTCTCTCTCTCCCCCCTCCCCCCCCCCCCCCCCTCTCTTTCTCCCTTCCTAATCCTTCCCCTCCACTCTCTCTAAAAAAACAATAAAAAAAATCAATGAAAAAATATCCTTGGGTGAGATTAAAAGCAAAAACAAACAAAAAAATCTAGATTTTCCAGTTTCTTGAAAAGTAGGAGTAGGAAGATTTTTGGACTAGCATCCTTGAAGAGCAATACTGCTACCTTCTTTACATGGGGCTGGGCCGGACTATATTCATAACCCCCTATTATCATGAAAAGAAAAAGATAATGTCTATTGGGTTTTTCTTCCCCTCGCACGTTTTTCTCCTTGGTAGAAGTGGGTAATAGGTCAACTACTCACTACATTTTCTTTTGTTTCTGAATTACTTCTAGAAAGCTGTGGACCATTTTTAGTTCTCTCTTGCTTCAATATTGCTAGTAATTTTACTCTCTTGTCAAAATTAGATTTTCTTTTTTATGAGTCTTTTTTATTGATATTTGTGAATAATCCTCAAACTCACCATGTACTCTCTTTTCAATTGCTTTTTAGAATTTAGAGCCAACTTTATGGATAATTTTTCATGATATGTATTTGTTTGGACCAATCTCACTCTCATATTTACTCATGTTACTCATCCTTATTCTGCCTTTGTTTAAATCCTTCCTTTTTACAACTTCTATTATTTCCAGGTTATAGCTTAAATTATTTCTGGAAGCATGCCAGAGGGCTATGTGAATAAATAAACAGAATAGTGATATGCATTGAAGTTTTAAAAGAAACAACATATGGTACACTTAAAATTATCTAAGTTAGAAAACACTTTATTACTTTAAATAAAACTAAATAACATATACCAAAATTTACACTAATTTCTATTCCTCTATCCATTCTTTATTTCTTTAGGAACTATGTTACCTCAAAAATGTCAATAATAAAAAATTCCATGTTTTATCGAATTATTATACGATTGATGTTTTGACTCTACACATATTCCAGATTTGGTTTCAAAGGTCTAGTTATTTTAAATCATGTTCTTTATCCATTTCAATGATATAATGGAAAATTCTCAAGAAGAAGATTATGTAAGCTCAGAAATCTAGATAGATCCATCTGATTCAAAAAGAGGCTTACAGAAGATAAATTGTTGTTTGGGGAAAGGGTCACTTCTCCTGATTCAGCAGTCTGTCAACTATATATCTAGAGGACTAGTTTTTTAGCTCAATATTATTTACAGCCCAAAATAAGCTGTAGTCACAAATATCAAAGCAGAATCTGTGAAAGGAGTGAATATGCTGCTATTGTCTGATATATATATATATATTTAAATTCCATTTGTATTTTATTTGCTTTGTTTGGTTTATCTATTTATGATTCATAGGTGAAACTACTCATTTGTTTTCTTATTGTAAATAAACATATATCTTATAAATTTAAA